TTTTTTTTGATCAACAAAATGAATAGAATGATATTAATGCAGAGTACAAGGGGCACTCTAACCCATAATACAAACTAGGCTACAAACTGCAGAATTGAGACTTACAAAACAAGGCCAGCATCCGGTACCATGGCCTCATACTTATGCTGGACAATGACCCACCCAGCAGCCCCATTATACCCTTCCCTTTTGGTTCAAATGGAACTCCCGCATCAGCCTTCTATTATTTCTTATTTCTGCAGCAATTTCCAACGGGTTGAGCTTCTAGCCCCAAAATGAGAAAACACATCCCTGCACTTTATTTTTTACCCAGGAAAAAATCTTGGCCTGAATCATTTCCAATAACTCATCCCTTGATACCCCATTTCCCTTAAAAACTCTACAATTCCTCCAAAACCATATATACCATGCAGTGACAAGAAAGATGCAAGCTCCCAATTCCTTCCCTATCACCCTACCCAACCCATATGCAAACAACTCCATTAATCCCCCCACTCTATTCGACACTACAACCTCCATACCCCACCAATGTAGCACCTTAGTCCAAATTAACCAAGCTTCCGTACATGTACAAAAAACATGATTACACTCTTCCACTTCCTCATCACACAACCCACACCTTAATCCCCCATCCAGACCCACACCTCTTTTTTGTAAGCTAGACTTAGTGGGAAGACGCTCAAGACATAATCTCCACCCAAAAAAACTAACTTTTGAAGGCACTAACCGACACCAAATTAACTTACATAATTGTTCATTAAGAATGTAATCCGTAGATTCCAAAAACTCATACGCGTGTCTCACCATAAACTTGCCATCAGGAACACGCACCCACTGCCAACAATCCTTAACACCTTCCTTAAGTTGAACTTTACCTAGGATCTCCCACAACAGCACCTCCTCATCCTTCTCTCTTCCCCGTCTCCCTCTTCTCCAATCAATCCTCCATCTCCAACTACCTTCCTCCCAAACCCCCATCTCACTAACTAAACCATCCTTATGAATCGCCAATTGAAAAAGCCTAGGACACAAATCCCTCAAAGTCTTCTCCCCCACCCAAACTGCTTTCCAAAAATCCACCCTACTTCCATCTCCCACCCCCCATCTAAAACCCTTCACCAACATATTCTTTAAACCATCTGATCGCAACCTTATACTCAAAACTTCCCTCCACAGCCTAGACACCCTAACTGTATCCACTGTTGTAATATCCACTTCTTCCCTTCCACCATAATACCTCTCCCATACCACCTATTTCCACAATCCCTCCGCTCCATCCCCTAATCTAAACCACCACTTCCCTAACAATGCCCAATTTTTTTTATGCAAATCTGGCACTCCTAGACCTCCTTTCTTCTTACTAGTACACACATAATCCCACTTAACCCATGAAATCTTCCTCTTTAATTCCAACCCTCCCCACAAAAAAGCCCTTTGAATACTAATCAACCTTTTTACTACCCAATTTGGCATTAAAAACAAAGACATATAAAAAATGGGAGTTGCAGAGAGTACCGAGTTAAGTAAAGTGAGGCGACCACCAGCAGACAGCACAGCAGACTTCCAGACAGCTAACTTGGCTTGAAATTTATGCAAAACTGGATCCCACATCTTCTTGCTCCCACTTTTCCCACCAACCGGCATACCCAAATACATAAAGGGTGTTTCCCCAACACCACAATGGAGAGCACTTGCTGCCCCTTTAATCCACCGAGGAGCCACGTTGAAACCAAAGACATTACTTTTGCCAAAATTTATCCGCAATCCAGACATCAACTCAAACCATCTCAAAATGGTTTTGACCGTAAAACTACTCTCACTATTAGCTTTCCCCAATATCACTATATCATCCGCAAATTGAAGCAAAGAAATAGCTAAGCCATTGTTACCCACCATGATGCCTTGTATCAATCCCTCCTCTTCTGCTTTTTTGACTAGTCCATGTAGACCCTCAGCCACCATGAGAAAAAGGAACGGAGATAAAGGATCCCCCTGTCATAATCCTTTCCCCATCGCAAACTCCTCTGTTGGGCTTCCATTAACCAAAACTGAGACTCGAGCAGTTGAAAGGCATTCTCGGATCCACCCTCGCCACTTCCCGCCAAAACCAAATCTGCTCATCATCCAATCTAAATACGACCAATCTACACAGTCGTACGCCTTTTCGAAATCAGCTTTGAAGATAAAAGCTTGTTACTTACGCTGCTTAACCTCTTCCACCACCTCATTTAAGACTAGCACGCTGTCCACAAGTTGACGGCCTCCCAAAAACGCAGATTGAGAATCACTAATGATCTCCGACATTACCACCCGCAACCTATTAGCCAACACTTTTGCCAGTAACTTATATACACAACCAACTAAGTTAATAGGTCTAAAATCTTTTAGTTCCATGGGGTTCATCTTCTTAGGAATTAACATTAAGAAGGAAGAGTTTAACCCTTTTACTAACCTGCCATTCTGGTGAAACTCCTCAAAAAATCTCACAAAGTCCTCCTTCATACATCCCTAAGCATACTTGATAAAACTAAAATTGTATCCATCTAGCCCCAGAGCTTTTGTTCCCTCGCAACTCTTTAACCCTTCCTCAATTTCTTCCGTTGAGAATGGTCTTTCTAACCATGCTGTCATCTCTTCAGAGATCCTTTTAAACCCAATTCCAACAGGCTTTGGACGATTTCGTGAGTCATTGGCAAATACCCTTCAAAAGTACCCAACCACCTCTCTCTTTATCACCTCTGGCTCTTCAATCCACCTGCCATCACACGAAATGCCAACAATGTTGTTATGAGCCTTTCTCCCATTTGTAATTTGGTGGAAGTATCTCGAATTTGCATCCCCCCATTTTGCCCAATTGGATCTTAATTTTTGCTTCCAAATGGATTCCCTCTTCCTCATAATATCCCAACGTGCTTGGAATCATTGCCGTCGTTCTTCCAATTCTTCCTCTTCTCATGCCACCTCTTCGTTCTTCATATCAAGATTTGCTACAGTGCTCGCTGCATGTTGAAACTGAGTTTCTAGATCCCCAAAGACATCCTTATTCCAACTCTTCAAAAATTACTTCAACATTTTTAATTTCTGAAGACATTTGTAACCTGCAAATCCATCCACCGCCAGTTCATTCCATTTGTCTTCAACAACTTTTCTAAATTCTAGATGATGTTGCCATGCATCCAGAACTCGAAACGATTTGGGTCCCCAATCTGCTGTCCTTGTTTTCAAAACAATCGCACAGTGGTCCAATATATTTCTTTTCAGTCCTTGTTGCACCCATTCACCACCCATACTGCTCATTTCCACAGTCATCAATATCCTGTCTAATCTTCTCATTGCAGTGCCATCTAGTCTGTACCATGTAAACTTTCGATTTATCAACTTGCTATCAACTAGCCCTACTGTCTCTATAAAAAGATCAAAATCCTTCATATCGGCACTCTCCCCTGTTTTTCCCCTTCTTTCGTCCATACTCCTAACAGCATTGAAATCCCCTGCAAGCATCCACCGACCACCCTCCTCAACAATCCTCTGCCTCAACTCATCCCATAATGCAACTTTTTTCTTCCTTTCATTCGGTGCATAAATATTCACAAAAAAGCATACCTCCTTTTTTACCCCCCACTGCCCTTTTATGCCCACATACCCGTCTCCTGAAAATTCCCCCAACTTAACAAATTATGATTTATCCCACATACAGATCAAGCCTCCTAAAGCACCAATCGAACTTTTCATATTCCAATCAAAATCATCTGAGTACCATAGCTTTTTACACAAACCCTCTTCCACCCCTTCTAATTTGGTCTCTTGTAGGAATAGCAAATTTGGTTTTTCTACCCGCACTAGCCTACCCAACTCCCTCCTCTTCACTATATTCCCCAAACCCCTAACATTAAAAGATAAAACCTTCATAAACAAAAATGCAGACCCTCACCCACACTACCCCACAGCTACCCAAATACCTTACCCTCTTTGTCTCCTGCTTTCATCTATCTCTTCCAGCTCCAACAGCCGTGACTCCACCTCCTCTTCGGTACCTTCAAACTGCATTCCCAGCCTTCTTCCAGTGCACATCATTTTCTTTACCTCTTGCATATTAATCTCCCATTGAATAACTTGATTCCGATGAGCAATACAACCATCTGAAAGAGATTCTCCTTCCCCCTATTGCTCCGACTTTCTCGAATCCACTGGCACCGGCTTAGCTTTCTCGCGCCTCAGTCTTTGCTGCTTTGTCCGTCTCATCACCCACTCTACTTTCTCATTCCAGATTTCTGCAATTTCTTCTGGATAACACTCTGCCACTTTTCTATGTCTTTTTCCCGCCAAGTCTGATGCCTTTCTCTCCTTATCACGTGATGCCCCTGTTTGCTTTGAGTCCTTAGACATCTTACTAAAAGAACTTTCTACATCATCTTCTCCAGACCCATTAACTTCCTCAAGCCCATTAACATCCACAAGCCCATTGTCCTTTAACCCCTTATAATCCTCTAGCAACCCGTTAGCACTCCTCAACCCATTCTCATTACAACCGTCATAACCCCCATCTCCTACCGTTAGCGACTCACCATCAATTTGCTTGCTTTTTGAATTCAAAATTCCATTCTCCTGTAACAGCTCCAATTCAACGTTATCTTCATCTTCACTGAGAATCTCGTCATCAATAAATCTTTGATCCTCACTATCAATATGCGTGGAGGAATATTCCGATGGAGTCCCCGTCGTACTCCGTCGGTCACCCTCCGATAGCCACCAATCTGGGTCTGATCTCCATCCCTCCTTCATTACTTGTATCTCATGTAGCTGTCCAGCTAACTTCAATTTCAACACATTCGAAATACTGTGTGTAGCTGAACAAAGAACCAGTACCCTTCCTTCACACAAAATAGCTTTGGATTTGGTATCCTCATACACCCTCACCACCTCCCCGAATGTTCTTCCTATCATTTCAAAACATCTATCAGTTCATGCATTCAACGGAATACCAGATATCCACAGCCACACCAGTCGACTACTTCGTGTTGGTGCTAACGCCCATGGTAATATAGATTCAAACCATGTATCGAATAACTCTCTGTTCTGCACCATATACTCACCAAGGTAGCCCTTCACCTTTTCAAGAATCAGCACTGAACTTCCCCCTAATGGAAATAACGCAAGTAGCCCTCCATCCACATCCATTCTCTCTTGGATACCTGTCACTGACATTAAAGAATTCAAGACAGCGACCATGCCCCCTTCCAACCATTGAGTCTCTTCCTTTGTAGGCTCAAATGCAATAATACACTCTCTATCTGCACCCATCCTCTTTTCCTGTACCTTTTCCTTTGCACCCAATCCCTCTCCCTCATTCTCAGCACCCAATACCCTCTGCTCTATACCCCGATCCTCATGTCTTTTAACTGATACCTTCCCCGTTGCTATCATACCTTGTGGCTGTTGCTTTTCAACCCACTTATTCTTCCCCACAACCGCCTGTGCATAAGAGTGGCCTGGTTACACCAATCTATTCGTTCTCCGCATCCCAGTTTCTGCGCCTAATGCCTTCGTCTGCTCAGGAAGCCGCTTCCGTGGTCTATCAGCCATCTTCACCCTCAACTTATACAGCCCAAACCAAATCTCATTCAGCTTTTTCACCATCTGTGCCTCATTTTGCACTCCGACCATTCGAACGAAACCAAATCTGTACCCCCACTTGTCCCTCTTGTTCGGCAGAAAAACATCCACTACCTTGCCGAATCGTTGAAAACAAAACCAAAGACTCTTTGCTGTCTCTATCTCGGGGAAATTGTAGAAGAAAAATGTCTAAACCTGCCTTGAAAACTGATTACTGAAACCTGGAATCCGCCGCCTGGAGCCTTGCCGCCGTTGGAAGCTGCTGTCTGCCCTGGCCGCTGCATCTCTCTCTCTCGAACCCTAGTAGTCTCCATTCTCCCAATTATTAAAAGTTGTATTAATTATACGTAAAGAAATACAATTAGAAAAAACCCTATTACAATAATCATTTTCAGAGCAAGAACCTGAACATATAATTCAGAAAGCAACTGCATCTCCCATGTCGCTTCTGCCACTGCATTTGTAATGGCACGGTACTCAACCTTTGCACTAGACTGGGAAACTGTAAATTGCTTATAAAAGATCAAGAAATGGAGGAATTACCAAAGTATAAATGGATTGTTTAATCAATACTTTAAGAGCACAAATTAAAAAATTTTTCGTCATAAATTTATATTTAAAAAATTAATTTTTAATTTATTAACTATTTAATTAGATTTATCTGATATTAAAATTAATATTAATTTTATATTTTTCTATATATATTTATAATAAAAAAAATACTCTTACTCTATACCTTAAAAGTATAAAATAGAAACATTCACCCATGTGGCAGGTGGTCTGCACCCATGATCAAACGTGGAGTCCGACCCCAAATTTTTTGGACAAATACTAACCTAACCTAACTAGCAATTTCTTTGTCAAAAGAAAAAAAGTATTGTTAGAAATCGAAAAGAAGGAGAAATATCTGAAGAAAGGTTTATTGCTTTCTTGAATTATACTGTATGTACAACGACCTATATATAGGTGTTTACAAAGAGAATATTCTAAGGTATAAAGTATACAAAGAGAATATTCTAAAGTATAAAATATTTACAATAATTCTAAATATAATTATGTTC